GCAGATATTCTTAGGAAAATAAATATGTTTGTTTTTAGTGCTGTAGAAACGAAAGGCACTTTGTGTTGTGTTGTGTTCTGATGTTACGTGTTGTGATGGAACTCGCTGCTTCTGTTTTTACTGCTCAGACATCCCACAAGTGTACAGAGCTGTAGGCATTGCAAAGCAATTTCGAAAAACCGCTTGCCACCGTTTTACTGGTTCCCGACGTGCCAGATTTTTGTAAAAAGTAAGCAAACGTAAAACAATGAATCGCAAGCGTCCCAGCTGGTGCCTCAGTCACGCAATCATGTTCGCATGCATGTGAGGCAAACTTCGGCAGGCTTGCTGCTGAGCATACTTCGTCGCGCGAGCGCAGACAACAGCTGTCCGATCGAAACCGAAACCATGCTACTCAGTTACGTCCCTAACCTATCCCCAAAATTGTACACAAAATGTAACTTTCGAGCATGCGACAAAACCAGTCCAGTGGCGCGTGCCAGGCCGGCAAACAAGGTACAAGCTAAACACACAAAAAAATAAAGAACCTGAGTACATCGATGCAAGACATTGCGAGCCAGCCTCAAAACGTTCTTGGAGCGCTTTGTGCAACGACTGAACTCGAGACAAACACAAGCGCGCTATGCGGGTTCAGCGTGCAGACATTGCCTTCTTTGCTTGAGCTCACTTCCCTTCACCAACTTTCTTTCACGGCAGATTTTTCACGTACCGAGGCCCCTCTTGAAAGAAGGCCCACCGAGAGGAATCTAGATAATCAATACTTTGACAGAGCAGTCTTTGAATTAAAGATGGATTTTTGTAATAACGTATAATTTAAACAAGAACAGGAATGCTGATGAACATGCGGCGGTCCTTACGTTACAGTTTAGAAAGTACCATATCTGCAGTGATGTGGGGAAGGCAACATTCGACGTCGCGCAACCACGGTGACTGAAAGGCAGTGACTAAATATAGTTTTCCCACGGCCGTTGCTTCAGCTAACAAAGTAACTCCTGCCGTGCAAAAGCATGGTTTCGTTTCACAGCACGACGGCATGGCTGGTACCCGACACGCTAGCGTCGGAGTGTCTGCACACATCTGCGTCTATCGCTGAAAATATATAAAAAAGAGAGGAGACACGAGACCCACAAGACGAGAGCGCGAAACGCGAGACGCCGGAAAAATCATGCAAGACCGAGTGGACAATTGATGCACGGTACTTTGTGTCAGGCGGCGGCTTGTGCCACACAACACACGCTCTCAATTACAATACTCGGTTTAGTTTCGGTTTTGAAAGGCGACCTAAATTGCTCCTTTGGCGCAGGCTTGGCGCAGATTACCCATATTTTGGCGAAATGTAGCAGGATGTAGCAGGGTTAGCCCCTTGGCGCAGTTTGGCGCAATTGGCGCAGCAATCACATCACTGGGTTTCTACTATTTCAATTAAAGCAGACGTACGTGGCAGCGCAGGTCTGAGCCGCCAACTGCGCAATTAGTTCAAATGTTCCCGGCGCCCCCAAACTGCGACAACTCGAGTTTAGCGCAAATTCACATGCCGTAATTCGTGCCATCCCCTGGCTTCGTTCAATCCTCAATTTCCCTAGCGATCCCCAATTTCGCTAGCGATCCCCAATTTCGCTAGCGATCGAAACGCCGAGTTCGGTTTGGGAGCGAAGACTGCCCCAGAACCGCGCTAAAAATTACCCGCAAAAAGATGCCACGAATGCAGGATGCATTTTTCCCCATGCCTGACATACAAATTAGGACAGTGCTATCCTCCGTGGACGAAGACGATGAGTCGAGGACGCCGAATACGGCAGCCGTGCCGCAGAAGCAGCTGCAATCGGTGTGACTCGGTGAGCAGGGTAACAGTCCAGTAATGGCGGTCGGTCATTCGGGCGGGTTCAGATTCTCCCAAATGCCCGGATGAGGGTAGGCGGCGCTACACTCGTTAAAATGGCGCCGGCTAGGAAGCCCAACTTGGAACGGTGTATACACCCTTCCAAGTTGGGCTTCCTGGCCGGCGCCATTTTATGGGGGATTTTGCAAGAGAGCTCTCTTGCAAAATCCCCCATGCGCCCCGGCCCGCGCGCGAGGAATTGTGGGAGAGACTGTCCCTCGCCTGGCCGCTCTGCCTTGAGATCGCATTGCCTTGTCGCTTGTCTCCTCTTAATCCTCTGTTTTTCGATTCTATTACCGATTTTTACCTATTCCAGTGTATATTTTATTGCTTCTAAGTGTTTCTATTTTCTGCGCTCAATATTTCTTGTATATATATACATAGTACTTGTGTCTTTATTTTGCTTTTGTCGACAGGAGTGCCGACGGACAACACACCGCTTCGCGCATCGTTCCCCGGGTGAGCGCTACACCGTTGCTACCGATTCCCATCGCGCTGTTAGCTGTTCATTTTGGTTCATTTGACCCGCGTGCGGTCGAGAGGAGCCGTTTATGAACATTCGCGCACATGTCATAGGGGTAGGCAGAGCTCTGAATCCACAATCGCGACGCGAGAGCCGAGTGCGCTGTGATTTGGCCGCCCGCGCTCGCTCCGTTGACTCGCACTGTAGCGTATGCCTTCGAGTTCCGCTTACTTGATCAAGACACAGCGCGCCGCTTTGTCGCCGCGAAACATTTGTCCGAATGTTTGCGAAAAAAGTGAGGCATATGCAACGCTGCGGCGCATTACAACTACGCGCTGCGGCACGATCCCTTGACAAACGCCGACGGCCCATGGTGGCGGCTTGAATGCGCCTATGGCATGCCTTCGTAATCTATCTGCTAAGCTGTTGTCAGTTGCCAACGCCCTTTTTCAAGTGCAGAAATCTGCTGCCGCGAATCATTTGTCCGAATGCCTGCGAAGCCGTAACACCGTTCGGCATATCCAACGGTGCGACGCTGCCCACACAAGCGACACACGCTTGGCGGCCTAAATATCTGCGTATGACATAACGACTAATCGGAGGTTTTTCTTGTTTCCTCGCGTTTAGTTACATGTTCGAGGAAAACGAACATCACGTTCGTTTTCCTCGAACACTCAGATTCAAAGAACAAAAATATTGTCAAATCCTTAAGTTTTCTTTTAGGAGGTTTTTCAATTATTTTAAATACATCCTTTGTTATTTTCTTACAAGAGCTCTTCGCCATGCTTCCGCCACCTTTTCTTTTTCAATCAAAATGTCTCCCTATTTCGAGTCAAAGGGCACCAAGATGACCCCGGGCCTTTTCGAGGCCGGAAACGCGTCGGATACGACGCGCGCTTTTGCACATCGAACCGTGACTACGGTCCCCAAACGTTCTCACTCATAAAACAAAATATACAGTAAGACAAAATCACATTAAAAAAAAAAAAGGAACAAATAAAGAAAGAAGTCCCGTTGCGCATTCTTCCGAAGCCCGCAGAGCAGATTTCTATCGATATCGATTACCAGTCGGCTGCCTGTTTGCCAGAAGGAACAACTTTCCAACTGGGGATCCTAACCGACAGCAGTCCAATCGAATTGCAAGAAGCTATTCGCGCCCCGCATCTCGTTCGAAATCGAAACGGGAAGCGCAAACTGCAGCTCTCCTCCGTTCATCCGACACGACGCAGCGCAGTGGATGCTACGTGCCGCCCCAGCCAATAGAGCCTCGGGAAAATATCGCGCGCGGTTAAAAGCGCCAAGCACGTCGCTGCATGCGCACCTCCCGAGGGTCACGTGACGTGCGCACGACACAGGATTGGCTACGATGGCTCGTAGCGTCCCCCCGTGCTCCATCGTGAGGTTGAGACCGAGTACGCGTCCTCGGCGCCCGCGGCGTGACATTTGAGCGCTGCCCCCCGGCCGCTGCCGAAAGTCGCATTCCAATCTGTCCACAACTTCGAAAGTGTGGCGCTAAAGCACGGGCCAGAGTAACGCAGAACCAGCGTCGGACGTCGATATAAAGTTGTAACTATTCACAGCGGTGGAATTTCGCGAGAAGTGCAAATACGATGGGAGATGATGCGAAAAGAAATAATAAAAACAAAATAAAAAAAGCAGCAACCTCTGACGTGCACATGTTTGTGCTACGACAAAATCGGTTCCCGATCGGATGGGACGGAGGGTTCGCTCGCGCGCGCGCGCTACGCGTTCTCTAGCTGTCCGCGGCCGCATTGGAAGTGCGGCTTGCAAGTTTCCCGAATTCTTTTGGGAGCAGCGCGTCGCCCCGAAACGGCAGCGAGAGATTGCACTTCGACCGAGCAGAGCATTTTTCCTTCCTCGAAATCACCGCCGCCGCCCTGCGATTGGCGCCGGTTACGGAAAGACGAATTAATTACGATCTCAAGTACGCGCGGCGTCAACCAATCTTTTTCAAATTTTTTGCGACACGTTTCCAGAGAAGCGGGGTCGTCGGAGGTACCCCTCCCCCCTTTCATTCGCCCCCAACTGTTTTATTCTTGTTGCAGTCAACACAAAAATACAAGGTTCAGTGACAAGGAAGTTCAATGTGTAAATTACAAGCATCCCGTTATTGCGAGAACACAACTAAAGATAACTTTTGTTTGTGTGTCCTTTTTTCAAAAACATTACAGACGTTCTTGCACTCTTATGGAAGACACAAGAGTCACCACCTTACCGAAAGGTAAAGCGGTGGTTGCTTGCCTATACAGTCAGACAGTGTGGCGTACGTTCTTATAGCAAAGCAGGATGTAAATACACGTCGAACGAAAAGTCTCAGAGTAATAAACGAGAGTATATACAAAAATCTGCTCCATGTTTGGGCCGGTAATGTCAATCACGCTCACCAGAATGCTTGCCACAAGCCCAATTGATCTCGAGCAGTTGGCCACAGCGCCACTATTCCCTGTACGGCCGTCGTCATTTTGGTGCTTTGGTACAATAAGGCTAGTTTATATAACATAACTGTAACTAATCAAATCATCGAGGGACAACGTTTCGTTCCTTGGCGTTTCGATTCTTTCCAAATAAATATAAGAATAGCTTCGGTTATTTCCGAATAAAGTACCCTACACCAGAAACGTTTCCCTGAGTGCTTACCGGAGTCCTTTCCAGCCACGATGACCTCATCGTCGTCGCTGTCGTCCAGTGGCACGACGCCGGTCGCCGACGAGACAACGTCCGGGTTCGCCCCCGACTCCGCCACACTGTCATCGTCGATCACGGTCACCGCATGGTCGTCCGCACGCTCGGTTCCGTCTCCCATATCGTTGTCTCGATCGTCGTCGTCGCTGTCATCGAGGACCACGAGCCTCTTTGGTTGACGCCGACCTTCAACCTCCTGTCTTGGAGCAGGGTCATGGAAGTCCTCGGTCGCGGCGAATGGATCCGGTAGACTCACGACGTCATCGTCCTCATCGTCGTCGCTGTCTCTCAGCACGACGCGGCGACCTTTGGTGGTCTTGGACATCGACGGCGACCTCGGTGAAATGGACGCTGTACCATCCTTCGCCTTCTTCCTCGCAATGACGTGGCCCGATGAGTCCAGCTCGCTGTCGCTGTCTTCGGGAAGCGCAGTTCTTTTGCGCTTGACGTTGCCTTCTCGTATTGCAGTGGCGGATGCCTCGGTGAGGCTCGGAGGAGGCGATAAGACCACGACCACGTCTTCGTCCGAAGAGGTCCCCGACGATTCCTCGTCCCCGGAGCTCTTCGGGGACGGCTGTTCTCGGCGCCGAGCCGACTTGCTCGAACTGCAACGGACCAAAGAAAAAGAAAGTAACATGTAGAATCAATTGCTCATTTCGATCCCCGGTTAATCCCCGATATCGGTCAAAGACTAGACTGTAAGAAAAGGAGAAACACAACATTTGAGCACATTGCAGCTCATTCTGTTCGAGCTCCCGTTGGAACGGGCGCCGTCCACGCTTCAATAGTCAAAAGTACTTCCGAGGATTGTACGATCATATTTAATGATTCCTTAACATATACACGGGGCAGCAACCACCGCCATCATAAATAATTATTTCTAAGTATAGAGCGGGTCCTTCATTAGACTACACTTCCGTTTTGTTCAGATGTCCATTATACACAAAAAGGGAAAACGAAATCCTCGAAAAGCTTAATCGGGTGCCGTTATTTTTAACACTTCTTTTTTGATTCCTAAGCCTTAGAGCGGCCCTGCAATCCTATTTAAGCGTCCCCCTTTTTTGCGGTTTCCACATCTCTTGGGGTTCGGGCAAGCCAGCGGGCAAGGAGAGAGTAACTGAATATCAGTGCATCATATTTTAACTGGACGACGCGGAAACCACCTCCTCCTCCTACGGGGGTGGCCCGCGCTGCCGTAAGCGCGCGATATGTGACGACATCGTGACGTTTTTGGTCCTGGCCTCACTACTGGTTAGAGGCGCTAAGTTTTTTTTTTTTTTTAGTCGAAATACAAGATACAGGTGGCGCGAACCGCTTCAATTATTTATGGAAGTAGTTTTTGTTCAGTATTTTAGATCAGAAAAGAAACAAATGCAGTTTAGAAAGTACGGAAACAAGAAATGACCCGTCGACATACCCGCCACCAAATGGTGAAAAAAAACAAACAAAAATAAAAAAACGGCGCTACATTACACCTTTCCAAAAAAACGCTCAACCCCAAGGGCAACAAACCGTTTTCAAGCCAGTCACTGAGTTTGAGGCTAGACTCTCCGGCGTCCCTCCTAACTACAGTATATGTAAGTTACAGAATAAGTCCTTTCACTCAGACTTGTACGTAATACGACTACTTTACTCAAGTTACTGTAGTCGAACTACTTTTATGGCTACCGACGACAACCGCGGAGGCTTTGAGGAGAGCCAACACAGCGCGCCAGTGCCAGCCCACAACTACGCGATGGACACGCCGTAAGCCAAGAACGCACGCGGAGGGAAGCCTCTCCCAGGCAAGAAAGACGGGCAAAAGCCAGCCGGAGTGCGGCATATAGAGGTCTGCACGGGCCGATATTTAGGAGACCGGCCCGCTGTCTCTTGGGCCCGCCCGCGGCCCGCTCTCGCCGGACCCGACGCTCTTTCATCATCCGACCCCGCTCGCTGGGCGTGGGCGGCAGCGTAGTCACGCGGCGAAACATTTGACGTATCAGTGGTCCAGCGAGCACGCAGCTTCCACCGCTCCGTCAGCGTCGTGCTCAACTTTGGCGGACGAGCGACAAAATGAACAGGAAAAGACAATGTGGTTCTCACGGAGCGTGCACTCGTCGTGCATGTTACACTCGGGCGCAAAACGGTGCCCCAAGGGACCCCAGCTTTGCCGCGAGTGGTGCACCACCGTGTAGGCAGCATACTCATAAATGAGAATGTGAGAGCCGTCTTTTAGACAGCCTGTCCGTAAATAACGTATCTTGGTCCCCCCCCCCCCCCCCTCCTCCCTTTGGCGTCTAAGAGAAGGCGGCGACGACTGCGATGTCCAACGAGAGATGAATGGAAGCCGCACAACATCACGGACCAAAGACTCCTCGACCATTGACTGCCTGGCGACATCCATTGCCGCCTACCGACATCACAGGCGCAGCTAATTGGCTGCTCAAGAAGTTTCGACCGGCTATATATATATATATATATATATATATATATATATATTGAGAACGAAGAGGGGAGAAGGTGATTATTGAATTTATTGCATGAACTTTAATGCATTAACTTTAATGCAATAAATTCAATAATCACCTTCTCCCCTCTTCGTTCTCAATATTACTACGGCTGCACTTGTCAATCTTCACTCAATCCCATTATATATACGGTGCAGCCTGTCCCTATGGGGAGGAGTGGTTCCCTAGATATCCTGGAAGACGGGCCCTTTCTGACATTTGCAAGCTGAGATGACGTGCCACGTCACTGCCGCATGTCGGAAATAGCGCGGGCCTTAAATCAGCAACGGTCGTCGTCTACCCAGTTAAGCGAATTCGAAACTAAACAGTACACAGAGAGCTGGTCAGAAATTGAGTCCGCCGAAACCAGTGGCCAGGATGGTCTAATCGGTTAAGGCGTCGCCCCGGTCAGGCGAAGGTTGCGGGTTCAATCCCCGCTCCTGGCCCAATTTTTCGCCAGCTCTTTTTCCCTTTCCCCAACTTTAATGCAATAAATTCAATAATCCCCTTCTCCCCTCTTCGTTCTCAATATTACTACGGCTGCACTTGTCAATCTTCACTCAATCCCATTATATATACGGTGCAGCCTGTCCCTATGGGGAGGAGTGGTTCCCTAGATATCCTGGAAGACGGGCCCTTTCTGACATTTGCAAGCTGAGATGACGTGCCACGTCACTGCCGCATGTCGGAAATAGCGCGGGCCTTAAATCAGCAACGGTTGTCTACCCAGTTAAGCGAATTCGAAACTAAACAGTACACAGAGAGCTGGTCAGAAATTGAGTCCGCCGAAACCAGTGGCCAGGATGGTCTAATCGGTTAAGGCGTCGCCCCGGTCAGGCGAAGGTTGCGGGTTCAATCCCCGCTCCTGGCCCAATTTTTCGCCAGCTCTTTTTCCCTTTCCCTTTCCCTAACTTTAATGCAATAAATTCAATAATCACCTTCTCCCCTCTTCGTTCTCAATATTACTACGGCTGCACTTGTCCATCTTCACTCAATCCCATTATATATACGGTGCAGCCTGTCCCTATGGGGAGGAGTGGTTCCCTAGATATCCTGGAAGACGGGCCCTTTCTGACATTTGCAAGCTGAGATGACGTGCCACGTCACTGCCGCATGTCGGAAATAGCGCGGGCCTTAAATCAGCAACGGTTGTCTACCCAGTTAAGCGAATTCGAAACTAAACAGTACACAGAGAGCTGGTCAGAAATTGAGTCCGCCGAAACCAGTGGCCAGGATGGTCTAATCGGTTAAGGCGTCGCCCCGGTCAGGCGAAGGTTACGGGTTCAATCCCCGCTCCTGGCCCAATTTTTCGCCAGCTCTTTTTCCCTTTCCCTTTCCCTAACTTTAATGCAATAAATTCAATAATCACCTTCTCCCCTCTTCGTCCTCAATATTACTACGGCTGCACTTGTCAATCTTCACTCAATCCCATTATATATACGGTGCAGCCTGTCCCTATGGGGAGGAGTGGTTCCCTAGATATCCTGGAAGACGGGCCCTTTCTGACATTTGCAAGCTGAGATGACGTGCCACGTCACTGCCGCATGTCGGAAATAGCGCGGGCCTTAAATCAGCAACGGTTGTCGTCTACCCAGTTAAGCGAATTCGAAACTAAACAGTACACAGAGGGCTGGTCAGAAATTGAGTCCGCCGAAACCAGTGGCCAGGATGGTCTAATCGGTTAAGGCGTCGCCCCGGTCAGGCGAAGGTTGCGGGTTCAATCCCCGCTCCTGACCCAATTTTTCGCCAGCTCTCTTTCCCTTTCCCTAACTTTAATGCAATAAATTCAATAATCACCTTCTCCCCTCTTCGTTCTCAATATTACTACGGCTGCACTGGTCAATCTTCACTCAATCCCATTACATATATATATATATTCGCCGGTTCAGTTTCGGTTTGAATTTTGCAGCCGTGGACAAGGATGACGCTGCTCGTCCCGTAGGGGCCAGTACGAACTTCTTAGTCAAAATTTGCCGTCACGGCTTAGAGGTCGAGTGTCGACGCTCCAACAACATCGTGCCTAAAAAACCGAAAAGAAAAAATTAAAGCTGGTCAAAATTTTAAATAATTAGCGAAGTAACTGACCCCCTTCGCCTCCTTCAGCGTCGTCCCCACAATATAACCCCTAAAAAAAGCAAATTAAAAAAATCTAGACCATAATTTAAAAAAAGAAAAAGAAAACCCTGCTGTATTTGCGATTCTAGCAAAACGAACGGCACCTGGCGGGAAAACACTGAACTGCCGGAGCAGGTCTTTTCGAAATTTCTTTGGCTTCTGCGATGACATGTTGGCGGTTTGCGCGATGGAACAGTGTAACTGTAGTATCAGCTTGTTCCCAGGTTGCTCTGCACGCAACCTACGCATCCGCATGAACCAGACATTCTGCGTTCATAAACGTTCATCATCACCGCGGAAGCGGCCCTCTCATCCCTTTCTCCAACGAAGTCAAGCCCCTGAAAGCTCGCTCACGCTAACAAAACGCGGCAGGACCGAAACGTGGAGGACGAACATCGGGGCCAACAATAGACCCTTTACAAAAGTCAGAGTACCCTTAGCGAAAACTAATACGTTTGAAATATACCACATTCTAATTTGAGTGTATTTGAAATAGAGTTCATAATTTTAAGTACACGAAAAATAGACCGAAAATATAAACTTTTTTTTTTACTTGTACTAAAATATACTTCTAAAAATCATTTTAAAATACCTTTACTTAAACTACATTTGAAGTTCCCTTCATGCGTTTTGAAATATGTAAATACTAAATTAATAGGCACAAAATACCTTTCACGTATATTTCTCGAAATATTTATTTAATTCATGCAAAATATACTCCAACCCTAAAAAAATGAAGCAATCAAAAATACGTGCAGAATACTCTGAAAATACCTGAAAATCGTAAATACTGTTGTGTTATACTCGAAGTACCTTTTGACTTCAATACTTTGGTAGTTTGACTTAAACTACCGAAATATTGGAAAGCTCCCCTTCTAGAGGTTCACTTCAAGTAGATATGGAGTACACTGAAGCTCCTAAATACAACATTTGATTAGTTTGTCAACTGAATTACGGAGCATCGCACTGATAAATCAGCACAGTTTATGTTATTGTTTCCTTTT